CTCTCTCTCTCTCTCTCTCTCTCTCTCTCTCTCTCTCTCTCTCTCTCTCTCTCTCTCTCTCTCTCTCTCTCTCTCTCTCTCCACACTTATAATAAACTTAATGCTAAAATAATAGCGCAATCATATCTTAAATAGTGAAAGCGTTTCCCACTTATTAACGGCATATAATGTGTTGTATGTGCTGTTCATGTGTTGTGTGGGACGAAAACAATGCATACAATGAGAAAACGCCGTTCGTTTGGGTATTCATAAAACACTATGGGTTTGAATATTATTCATAACATTGAAGTAATTCATACGATATGTGCAACGCTTTTGATGACAAGTAATTGCACTCCAATTATGCCCAGAATGTAGTCTAAAGAAGAATATAATTTTCTTTTAAGTTTTTGGCTTTAATTATTGCAATCGACACACAAATGGGTTTCGTATTTACGAAATACTATTGTTTTTATTATTATTATTAAAGCGAAGGATGAGTTTTCAGGTTATCACACATTTTCATATACCAATTGTATTGCTTAACAATGAATGTCAAGTTTATTATGGATATATAGTCCTTACAATATAGCGGTGCAGCCCATCCAATAGCCCCAATCGCATAACCCATCGCAACCATATAAACCATATATGTCTTAAAATAGCCGGTAATTAAAAATTCAATTTATTTTGTCACGAATTAAGCGCTAAGAAAAGAGAGACGATTCACACAAATGCCTGTAAATATCTCATCCAAAGATAACAAATAATTATATTTTTATTTTGTGACCTCACTCTCAGTCACTCTCGGAGTCCTCTGCTCTTCAAATAGTGGTTAATATTTTTTTGAGCGAAAGAAATGAAACTGAGAAACGAGTGTTTGTCCCACAGTTTGTTTGATACAACAGTGGTTGACTCTCGAGCTATCGAAAGCAGATAAAAATTGGATATCCGTGCGATGTATAGCCATGTAAGCCATCAATGTTATTGATGTCATGATCATCTGTATCTTGTAGTGTAGTGTTGCCAACCATTCAGTATTTTCACTGCTTATTCCAAATTAAAAATGTTAATATTCTCCTTATAATTTTAGATGAACATTTTCTAACAAAAAAGTGTTGGCAACACTACTTTTAGGTGTAATTGCTTACCATTCATACAATTCATAACTGAAAGAAAAGAGTTTTTTTATAATACAATGTATAGAAAGAAAGTTATGATGAAATTATGTTTTCATTTGTCGTGTAGTGAGTGTTGGACTCAATATGAGATCACATCAAACGGTATGTGAATTCGACGACTCATTAAACACGAGTCGACTTTATTAACGCCTTCACTGAGCTTTCACTCAACTATTTTAGAGATTATCTCATCTTATTTTCTCTTCGCGTTTAAACCAATTCGTTGGGAAAAGTCATCAAACAATTTATTTAAAGATAA